CTACAGCGCAGAACTCATTTTACTATTTTACTAATTGATAGTGCCAGGCACCCAATCCCCGAGCACCAACAGAAGACTCGAGAGGTGGTGCAAGGACGGTGCCCAAACCCTGAGCACCCCCAGGAGCCATAAGAGGTGGCATGTGGATGGTGCCTGAGCCCCGATCACCAGCGTGTGCCATGACAGGCAGTGCAAAGATGGTACCCAAGCCCTGATCACCAATGGGGGCGCAAGTATGCCGCGAGCTCGGCGAGAGCACGGCGCTTGAGCCCCGGTCACCTATGGGAGCCGCGAGAAGTTGTGTGAGGGCGATGCCCAAGCCCCAAGCACTGATGAAAGCTGTGAGTGGCGGCATGAGAACTGAGCCTGAGCAATGACGGGAGTGTGAAAACAGAGCCTGAGCCCGAAGCTCTGACGAGAGCTGAGACGGCAGCACAAGGATGGAGCCTGAGCACCAATGGGAGCTGCAAGACTGGGCAACAAGCCCTCTCAGCTCTGGTGTTTGCAGCAACAGCCCTAATTGTTCATCTATAAAAATGAACAAAAGCACGTCATAGTAGTAGCAGAAGCAGCCGGAATTTTGCTCATAATTTTGTAAATTCCTTTATTTGGGAAATAAAGCTAACGTTAAGAGGCTAAAATGGTTTTCTGGACACAGTGGTCAAGCAGACGGGTCAGGCAGCGCTCCCAATCCTGTATCTAAAGCCACACTAAAGACAAACAGTCACACGCTCAAGACTCCTAATATGAAATTGTACCCAAATACCTTCCCTTGCAGCGTGTTTCTTCATATGGACCGTTTATAGCTTTTCACTTCTCCACAAACCACCTCAGGCTGGATTCCCACCAGGTCTGCGGAGGTCAAAGGTCACCCGTACACTACCCATTTAAACAAACCACAGCATGGAGCTGAGAACCTCACCCAGCTTTGTTCAACAAACGAGCGTGTTGTGTTTTAATAAGAGCCGTAATGTGGTTTATGAAGGGTCAGCTGAGGAGGGCCTCGCCGGTCTGGTGAATAATTAATACACACAGGCCTGTTGTATGAAATAACACAGTGGATCGATGAGCTATACTGATATAATAACACCAGGAGAGGAGAGTTACTCACACTCAGAGTAACTCATTCTTTCATTCTCTCTTTTCTTCGCTCTCTCTTTCTTAATCTCTCTCTTTCCTTTTTGTTTTTTTCTGTCTCACTCTCTTTCTTTCTCTTCCTCCTCTTTATTTCTCTTGCTCGCCCTCTTCTTCTCTCTCCCTCCTTGTCTTTCTCTCTCGCTCTTGCTCTCTCCCTCTTTTTCTCACTTTCTGTCTTTCCTTCCATCACTCCCTCTTTGTCTCACTCTTTCTCTTTTTCTCTCTCTCCTCCTTTACTTCCTCTCTATCTCTTTTCATCCATCACTTCTGCTTTATCTTCCTCTCTTTTTTCTCTCTCTCTCCATCACTTTCTTTCTCTCTTGCTCCCTCCTCTCTTTTTCTTACTTTCTCTCCCTTCTATGTCTCTTTCTCTTTCCTGCCCCCTCTTTCCCCTTCCCTGTTTCTTTCTCTCTTTTTCCTATCATCACTCCTTTCTCTCACTCCCTTTCTCTTTTTCTCTCTCCTCCTCCCTCTCTCTCTCTTTTCATCCATCACTCCCTTTTTCTCTCCATCTCTCTGTTACTCTCTCTCCATTCTCTCACTCTATCTCTCAATCTTTGTTTCTCGCTCTCCCCACACACCCTCTCTCTTTCCTGCCCTTTTCTCTGTTTGTTTCTTTCTTTTTCCTACTATCACTTTGTATTTCTCTCACTCTGTTTCTTTTTCTCTCTCCTCTTCCCTCACTCTCTTTCTCATCCTCTTTTCATCCATCTCTTTTTCTCTCTTCTTTCTTTCTATCTCTTCATTACTCTATATCCATCTCACTCTGTTTCTCTCTCTTCCTGACGTCCTTTCTCTTTCCTGCCTTCTCTTTCTCACTTTTGCTCTCGTTCCCTCTTTTTCTTACTTTCTCTCCCTTCCTCTCCCTTTTACATCACTCTTTCTCTTTCCTGTCCCCTCTTTCTCCTTTCATCCATATTTCCCTTTTTCTCTCTCTCTATCTCTTCATTACTCTCTATCCATCTCTCCCTGGCGCCCTTTCTCTTTCTCTCTCCCCTTATTTCTTTCCTTTTCCCTCCATCACTCCCTTTCTCTCAGTCTTTTTGTCTCTCCTTCTCCCTCACTCTTTCTCCTTTCATCCATCACTCCCTCTTTCTCTCCATCTTTTCCTGTTTGTCTCTCCCCCTCCCTTACTCACTCTATTCTTTCGCCCATCACTTCCTCTTTCTTTCCATCTATCCGTTTTTCTCTCCCCCACACTTCCTCTTTCTTTCTGTCTTTCTCTGTTTCCCCCTCACTGTTTCTCTCTTTCTCTCTCATCCACCACTTTTTTCTTTCACTTTATTTTTCTCTCTCTCCCTCCCTCACTCTTTCTCCTTTCATCCATCACTCCTTTTCTCTCCATCTCTTTCTCTCTCTCCCCCACCTTCTCTCTTTCTTTGTTTCTCCCTCACTCTGTTTCTCTTTCTCTCTCCTCCACCACTTCTTCTTTCTCTTGATCTTTTTATTTCTCTCACTCTCTCTTTCCCCGTCCCAACTCCATCCCTGTTTCTCTTTCCATCCCTCTCTCCTTCTTTCTCCCTCTTTCTCCTTCTCTGTCTCTCTCTTTCCCTCCCAAATGCCTTCTTTCTCCTTCTTTCTGTTTCTTTTTCTCTCCCTCACTCCTTCTTTCTCACTGTTTGTCCTTATTTCGTTCTCTCTCTCTCTCTCTCTCTCTCTCTCTCTCTCTCTCTCATTCCAGGGTTTTGAGTAAAAACAGACAGACAGTCACGTCTTCTCTCTGTTTTCTTTCCCTTTTTCTTTCCACTAAATCCCTCATTCCTCTCCTCCGCTTCCTCAGTGGCGAACACTACACACCACAATATCAGGACCACCCAGGAGAATCACACACAAACACACAGACGCACACACACACACAGAACACACACACAGGACACACACACACAGAACACACACACACAGGACACACACACACAGAACACACACACACAGGACACACACACACAGGACACACACATGCACACAAGTCACAAATACAAATCTGAAGACAAACAATACAGCATCACACATAAACACCTATACAGCATACAGCTCACCCCACACATGCAGACTAAAAGAACACAAATGTGCATGACAGAACACAAACACGCTCTCAGTCCAGCTGCTGGAGGGATGAGGATGAAAGCTGCATCCTTATCGAATGGAACAAAAGTAATTTCAGCTCGTAAACAAACGTTAGCCCACATCCTCAACACTGACCACAGCATTCAAACCAAAGTACCCACACGCATGCACAGAGACGAGTAAACACAGACACACATGCTTGTTTTTATATCTTGTTGGGTTCTGGTGTCCTACATATGCCTCATATCATGTAATGTAACTGTGTAATAATAATAATAATAACAATAACAATAATAATAATAATATGTCCCATATTGAGTGCATTGGTATGCACTTAATAATCCGTTAACTGCAGAAAATCAGATTTTGTCAGTAATCCAATCAACGCGTTTACATGCCTTGAGTAATCAGATAATGGAAAACTCCGGGTCTAAATGACTCAGTATACATGAGGCATGGTGGTGTGTTAGTGTGTGTTGCGCTGGTCTGAGTGGATCAGACACAGCAGTGCTGCTGGAGTTTTTAAACACTGTGTCCACTCACTGTCCACTCTATTAGACACTCCTACCTTGTCAGTTCACCTTGTAGATGTAAAGTCAGAGACGATAGCTCATCTGCTGCTGCACGGTTTGTGTTGGTCATCCTCTAGTCCTTCATCAGTGGTCACAGGACGCTGCCCACAGGACGCTGTTGGCTGGATATGTTTGGTGGACTATTCTCAGTCCAGCAGTGACATTGAAGTGTTTAGAAACTCCAGCAGCACTGCTGTGTCTGATCCACTCGTACCAGCGCATCACACACTAACACACCACCACGTCAGTGTTACTGTAGTGCTGAGAATGATCCACAACCTAAATAGTACCTGCTCTGTCAGGGTCCATGGGGGTCCTGACCAATAAAGAACAGGGTAAAAGGGGGCTAACAAAGTATGCAGAGAAACAGATGGACTACAGTCTGTAACTGTAGAACTACAAAGTGCACCTATATAGTAAGTGGAGTTAAAACAAGGAGGTGGTCATAATGTTATGCCTGATCTGTGTGTGTGTGTATATATATGTTTATATGCGTGTATATATATATATATATATATATATATATATATATATATATATATATATATGCATTTATGTGTGAGTGTGTGTATGCAGTCACACTTTACTATATATGTAAACATAACTACATGTAATATAGTTATGTTTTTAAAAAAAGGATATTCTTAAGTATTAGTATAAGTTAATGTAAAAAAAACAAACTTTAAGTAGTAATTTTGGACAATTTCACCATGAAATTTTAGCATTATGTATAGCATAACTGACTGTTAAAAAAAAAGGTATTATTTAGTGGTATCAAATAATCATTAATCAAATGATGAATGATTCATTATCACCATTAATGCATTGTCCAAGTCTCACCCCTTTAAACCATCTGTAGTTCCAGGCTCAAGCCTAACTACTACTGCTTTGCCCCACCACTATAATGCTGTGAATTTGTTTATCACCGTCTGAAGTATCATTTAAAAGCAAAACACCCTGCTGATGCCGGCAATAACAGTAATTTAGCAGACTACGCTGGAGAGTGCTCCCAGGAGACAAACTACAAAAGCAAAAGCAGAGTGGACAGCTGACCTTAAAAGCAATGGTTTCGCTCTTGCACTGCACAAAGTAAGTTGGTTGATCTTGCAGGTCAGCCTTTTTTGAGTTTTCCTACAAAGTCAGGACATTTTTGTTCTACAAATGTATGAAAACAAACACGTGCACACACACGCACGCACAAACAAGGTAACACATCTAGTGACTGACCGGCCTCCTTGCAGACAGCAGCGAGGTCAGCTCCTACATATCCATGCGCCGCGTCGGCTAGTTCCTGTAGCTCCTCTGTGCTGACCTCACAAGGGACGGAGCGCAGCTGCTTCTGCAGGATATCCATCCGGCCCTCCGCTCCGGGAACGCCCACCTCCAGCTCCTTATCAAAACGTCCTGGGCGCCGCAAGGCTGGGTCCAGCGCGTGAGGCCTGTTGGTCGCCCCAAGAACCAACAGCTGACCGCTGTGACCTTCCTATGGGAGAGAAAAAGAGAAGCCGAGAAACTTCATAGAAATATTTCTATACTTCATTACCGTACTTTAGTAGAAACTCTCAAGACAATTAAACAACACATACAGTCAATATGCAAAAGTCTGGAATTTGTTTATGTTTTTTTTAAATGAAGTGCTTTGGCCGACACACGAGGGTATCTTATCTAGAAGCTAGCTACTTTATCTTACTTTGAAATGCTCTTGTGACCGTGCGCAGAGCATGCAAATGGTTGAAAAAGTGTTTCCTGTCACAGTGATTAACTAAAGTCTTAAACTTAAGTACATTGTCACCGCAGGTGGACCCAAAGAAGACAATATGGCTGAGATAAAACCAGACATCTAAGACGTGCAAAGATGAGGAAAAACAAAAACAGTAGACTTAAAATCTGAAACCTAATCGAAGGCAAAAGCAGATTGCCACCATGAGCACAAAACCGTTTATGGTCCATTCATGTCTTACCTTTGATGCACTGAATAAAGATTCTATGTTTGCTTTGACATTTTCACAAAGCCCATTTCAGCATTTGTATTAAAACAGACAGAGATGTTTTTAAAATTCATTTTTGGCTTTGGAGGGGGAGAGAACGTCATACTCTACGGGTCAGAATCTCACTTTTAATCCCACCTCAGCTACATCTTTTATCATCAACTGGAGCTTCAAATTCCAACACAGGAGTGCTGATTACAAACTAAGGGCTTGGGGCAATGGTTGCTGTGCAGTGATTGGAGGGCCAAGTAAATGCCCAAGACTTGTCATAATACAGTGACAGCAATCACAGAAAACAAACTGCATTATTAAAAAAACCTGGCTCATTAAGTAACATTTCCCCATTTGATTGCATTGGCCAGTGAGAAGGCCCAGTCCTACCCAGACCTACCCATGGTTTTGCCCGTGGACTAACAGTTTGGAAGATTTTCTGACAGATTCTGATCGACTAACCTATTGGCCGTGGATTGCTGATTAATCAATGATACTCACAGATCCGATGCCGTCCATCAGCGTGAGGAGAGAAGCGACGACCCGTTTCTCCACCTCGTTTTGGGCTCCCTCTCTCTTCGGGCACAGAGCATCCAGTTCGTCAATAAAGATGATGGCAGGCTGCCTGATCAATACCACCAATACACAAAAGCCTGATCAATGTCTTACCATTAGGGGCGTAATTCCCTGATCTCACATTGATTCAAGTCAGCTATGATTACTAAGGAGATGATTCAGTGCATTGTGAAACTTCAAATTTCACTATGATTTGATTTATCTTTATTATTATAATCCATAATAATGCTAACATTTCAACATTATTACATGCACGCAATAATCCGATAACTGCAGAAAATCAGATTTTGTCAGTAAACTGTTCAACAGATTTGTTAGCATGGACTTCAGTAAACAGATAATGGGAAAACTCTGGGTCTACATGAGTCAGACAATAATCAGATTTCTGCTTTCCAACCCACCAATAAACGCACAGAATCAGACGTGATGTAAACATGATGTAAAACTCAGCGTCATGCTGAGGCTTTTTTTTTTAAACATGTTCTGAAACATTTTTAGTTATTTTAGTGGAAAATATGAATATATATCAGGTATATTCGAGAAGACAAAGAATATGTAAATTTAAGCATGTAGTTGGTTTCAGCTTCACTAAGAAAATAGGAGAGCTGTCTGTTTTCGCACGTGCGCAGAACGAAATGAACGAAAGAAAATCAGAGTAAGGGCATACATGTGCTGAAAAATCAGATTCCAGAGCTAAAATCCAGCTCTCTCAAATTTCTAGGCCTTAATCTGGTCTAAGAAACCAAACTATGCTGTTTACATGATCACTTAAATAATCAGATAACCACTAAAATCCGATTATGATTGATTAATCCGATTACGATGGATTAATAATCCAATAGCAGTTATCTGATGTCTCAGATATCAGGGAATGTAACTATTTTCATGTAAAGGTAGCTTTTAGAGGCGTTTAATGATTTGGACACCTGGGGCCGCATTACAGAAACTTCCTATCTTTTTGCCTTAACTTAAGATCTGACCGGTCAATATAGGATTAGGAAATCTTAATTTACTCGATTGAAGTCGGCCAGACAGCTAACATTAGCTACCGTTACTGATGTAAAAAAAGGTCAAATAAAACTAAAGCACAATAAACTGAAAGTGAGTAATATTGTTTTAACGCTTCGTGTTGTTTTTCCAGAACGTCGCTGCTCTCCAGTTTCAGTTTCATTACAAACCGCTTTAGCCGAGCGCGCTAACGTTATTCCTCCAAATAAACAGACACACGTTCAGCTCTGTCTCCTCATTTTTCACCACCATCACTGTAAAATTTTATCTGATGAGTTTTTATTAAATATTAACACCCGAACGTAATAAGATTGTGTCTTATTACGTTCGTGCAGTGTCTGAGTTCTTAAAAAAACGCTGTTTAAAAAAAACCTTACAAGTTTTCACTGTAGACAAATGTAACGTGATTATGCCAGTTACAGTGAACTGTGCTGCCTATCACTGCATAAAACAACAGAAACAGACGATTAAAACAGAAGTACAGACGCTCTGGGTTTATCTTAAAGATAAGAAAATATTTAGGATATTTTGGCAACTTAGGACGTTTCTGTAACACCGTTTTCTTATCTGGAAATAAGATTATAGACTTAAGAACTGTTGTTCTGTAATGGCTTCTGTCCTAACTTCAGTCTTAACTGAAGTTGCCATGACAACAAAGCAGATAAGATATGATCTCAGACTTAAGAATTTTCTGTAATATGGCCCCTGGTTCCTACTACCACAACAGCTAATTTCACACTGAACCACTCTGAATGACTGTTTGCAACTCAGGCAGAAATTTTAAAAGATCAGTGGAATTCCCCTTTAAGACATCGAGTGTGATGCTGTCCAGGTTTCTATCTGTACCTCTGCGAGGCCTCTGCGAAAATCTGGCGGAGACGTGCCTCCGTCTCACCATAAAACCTGTAAAACATAGGAAGATGATGATGAGGAAGGAGGTAGCATGTCATCTAGCATGTTTTCAGTACACCCAAACTCTTCTAGAGGACTTATTTAATCTTACTGAGTGTCTAAATGTTAAGCATATATTTCATAATTGCCATATTTCCAGGCCCATATTGGGCCTAAACTGAGATTAGATATGATTTTTAAAAAATTTTTCAATCACCATCAGCACTGCATTTTAGTCCAAGACTGAGAAGGGTCTGGCTGCAGATATGCACTCTCAGCCTGACATGCACCGCCAGCCTATAATTGACGTCAGTGCACGCTCTGCCACGACAGTGTTTTTGTAGGTTTTATGAGGAAAAACAGCAAATCATGTACTGCTGGGCAACAAGAGTTACACGGAATGTATATTAACGTTGTCATACTGATTATAAGGTAATGGAAACTTTCAAAACAAAATCTACCACAATGATAAGACATAATGTCAGGTTTATTTGTAGGGAAAAAAACCACAGGCTACACTGACACTCATGAAAACCATGAAGACGATTAGAACCGTTAGGAATAAAACCTTATGGTTTTGTTTCCTAAGGGGAGTTGGCTTGATGGATGCCATTAGAGACCATTTGGAAACGAACAATCAGTCCCAAAACACCCGATTAAACGATCAGAATTCTCTGTAATATGAACCCAATCAGAAAACACAGAATACCATTAGCAATTACTAAAAACCACCAGGAACCAGCAGACACTTTTAACGTTTTCTATTACTTTTTTCAACAGGAAGTACATTAAATGGAACTCTCTAGCTGCGTTATGGACGAAAAATGTAAAAATCGCTAAGCAGCAGCAGCAGCCAAAAGTTACCGTGCTGTCGGGCTGCTTCTGCCATTGTGGCAGAGAGTGCATGTGCACGTGACGTCACTGGGGCTGAGAGTGCATGTCTGCAGCCAGACTCTATTGCCAAGACTAGATTTAATCCATGTCCAGGAAACCAACTTAAAGAATACCGAGACATTTCCAACAGGGCCTGACCAAACTGAAAAATCTGAGGGCGATACTGATTTTATGGGGTTACGTTATATATAATTATACCATTTTACATTCAAACTTCAGATTTTCATTCTATAGTCCAATATTTTTGGCTACACATTTTTCTCTCAGTATCAATAATAAGCATTTGCAGTAAACAGCAGGAATCTTCCTGTTTCTGTAGACTTTTAAGAGAGTTTTAAAGGTGTTGCCAACTGTATGTTGAACAAAAAGGCCTAGTTGTACAACATATTTATGTTAAAGATTATTTTATTCATGCATTTCATATATTATCCTAATAATAATTTTGTATATTATACCAGAATAAGCCTTTAGTTTTTTTCAACGTTCAAAATAGTGATACAATTATGTAAAATTATATATAATTCTAACATTTGATTGCCAGTGTTTCTTTGTGCAGCCTCCCTAAGTATCTTGTGACTACAGTTTTAATCATTTCCAAAACATGCTATATTCTTTGGAATAAACATAAGCACATTTCACACAATGAGGCGTTAGACAGCTTGCATTCAGATTTATAATCAATTAATCTTTATTCATATAAAGAAATAATCTTTGCTAATGCACTCCAATTTCAAATTGATTGGTTGTTTTCAGCCAATCACCACTGAGTATACATACTTGCTCACAATCTCTGGCCCGTTGATTACAGTCATGTGCGCTCCCACCTCATTGGCCACTGCTCGTCCAATCATGGTCTTGCCTGTGCCGGGAGGACCATACAGCAGCACTCCTCTAGGGGGCGGGATTCCTGAGAGGGAAGAAACATCCACATCACATCACATCACAAGTAAAGACAGCACTGTTACACTAATAATTTTAATACTTGATGGAGTCAAATCCATTTCAGTTCAGTAAATTTGGTAGATGGACTTAATTCAGACCATTTTAATAAATAATTTGCATATTTATTAATAATTTTTGCAAAAGTCAGATAGATCTTCTAGATGTACAAAGATAGAACAGATGTAGATAGAAGTTCAATGTACAAGTGAGGCTGACTGAATTACTGACTGGTTGGATAACTGATTAATTACCTGATTGATTGATTGTACTGGCAGACCAAGCCTCTGTGAGAGACTCACATCAACCGGCTGCTTGATGTGGACAAATTTGAATTAAGATCTGAGTTTCTCTGCTTTTGTACAAATGACATGGAATATAACTGCTGTAGTGTTTAAGTTTATGTGAAGCTTATGAGAGACATACTAGCATGTATTTTACCTTGTAGCAGTTTCACAGTGACTCTATCAGTTGAGAGCTCTGGTATAGACCTGCTGCTGCTGCTGCTGTTTGCCATTTCTAACAATGCATTTGATTAGGCTGCAGCTTGTATTCAGTCACTGGCATATCTAGAACTTCCAGAAGGCCTAAAGTAACTTTTTCTTCCTCACAAAATTGGTCCCCACCCATTGGAAATTAAAAGGTGATTGGTTGATTGCTCTGTCATTTCGTAATTATGCTGAGAGTTAACCAGTAAAATGGCCAGGGCCCATCATCAGGCAATAAGCCTGGAATTTTAAGGTGTTAATCTAACGTGTTAGGACTTCTCTTCAGCTCCTGAAGTCCTAACCAATAGGAGAGCTCGCTTAGCTATATCTACCAAGATACTATAGAGAAAAACGATTTGTTTGGAATTGTTTTTCTCTATGGTATTTTGGTAGATATAGCTAAGCGAGCTCTCCTATTGGCCAGTTTTCCACTGGAAATTTCAAGAATTTAACCTTCTCCAGTCCTAATTGCTAATAGACCTGTATGACAGTGATGTACAGTGAACATTATTATGTAGATACTTTATTTTTATTTTTAATGTTTATTGTATTGAAAATATTGTACCTCTATTTAAGAATATGACATCTTTAGAACATTAAAAACATATTTTAACATATTGTCATGAAAAAAATATCATAATCTATGACAAAACGTAATTATTGCGATATTTAAAAAATTCACCAGCACTGGTGCCTATTTATTACTATGTAGTTAAAACAGTTTCTATCTATGGGATGTTGTTTATAGGCTCTCTATAATGAGTCTGAGATGTACTGACCCATGACATACTGAAAAATGTCTAATGTGATATAATTAATAACAATATTAATAACAACATATCATCGTACTATCCATCCTTACTCACCGTACTTTCTGAAGATCTCCGGGTGTCTCAATGGCAGCTCAATTGTCTCCCTGATCACCTGGAGCTGAGCGCTCAATCCTCCTATCATACTGTACGTGACCTTTGCCCTCTCCTGACCCTCGTCCTCGGTTGCCTGAGCCTGCGTGTGGGTGAAACTCAGCCTGGTAGAGCAGCAGACAGCGTAAAAAGTGTCGCTCCCAGAACGGACAGCAGAGGGCGGCAGATCCCCCACACCAGAATGAGAGAGCAGCTGGGTCTCCGTCTCACTCTTCTCTGCTCCCACAGATTGATCCGGTGTTTCTGGCATGGAGGGCAAGGGGCTGTCTGGCAGTGACTGGACACTAAGAGACGTGTCATTCAGTTTACATGGAGTGGTCAGAGCATGAGACATCAGAGACGAAGGGTCGGGAGGTCGGCTCGGCGTGCTGGCCGATGGACTTGGCGACAAGTGGTTTAGGGTCAGCTGACTCAGCTGTAGAGACAGATCCAGAGGAGTGGTGTCCAGCAGAGACGGCTGGCAGGGGTCAGAAAGAGGGGAGAGAGGCAAGAGGGTGACCCCGTCTACACCCTTCACAGAGTCCACTCTGATATGACACTTGCGTCCAAAGTAGGACACAGACAGAGAACTGCCAGGAAGAAGAATTCTGCCATCTGAGAGAGAGAGAGATAAAGAAAGAGAAAGAAAGAGAGAGAGAGAGCTATAGTATCCGAGGTAGTTGCTAAGGTGTTGCTAGGCCACTGCTGCAGTAGCCAAGATGGTTGCTAAGGGGTTGCTAGGCTGTTGCTACAGTATCCTGGGTAGTTGCTAAGCTGTTGCTAGGACACCGCTGCGGTAGCCAAGGTGGTTTCAAAGGTGTTGCGAGGCTGTTGCTATAGCATCCCAGGTAGTTGCTAAAGTGTTGCTAGGCCACTGCTGCGGTAGCCAAGGTGGTTGCTGAGGTGTTGCTAGGCTGTTGCTAAAGTATCCCAGGTAGTTGCTAAAGTGTTGCTAGGCTACTGCTGCGGTAGCCAAGGTAGTTGCTAAGGTGTTGCTAGGCCACTGCTGCAGTAGCCAAGGTGGTTGCTAAGGTGTTCCTTGGCCATTTCTATGTTATCCCAGGTGGTTGCTAAGGTAGGTGTTGCTTGTCCACGACCATGGAATCCCAGGTGGCTGCTACGTGGTGCTAGGCCTTTCTATGCTATCCCAGGTATCCCATGTTGCTAGGCAATTGCTATTATACAGACTCTAAGGTCCTGTTTCGTGTTTCTAGCTTGATTCTTCTTTTTGACTGAATAATAATAAAAAAAAAACATAAAGAACAGCATGTTGGCTTTTTCTCACCAACTTTATTACATAATAATATCTAGTGGGTCTCCTCATTTGTTCAAACTCTTGCATTGGTTTCTGTTTTTCTGTTTCATTTGTATGTATCCCAGCATATATTGCCAGATCACAGTATAATCCTTTTAAGTGGTATTCAAAGTATATATATATGTGTGTAGTTAATTGGTTGGTGGTGTTCTGTTTATGTGGCCTACAAATAAGTGCAATCTTTTCTACTGTATATGTTTTTGAACTAACCATAGATTTGAATAAATAACACAATGGTGAAACAATTAAAAAATGAATGAATCAATCTTGTGGCACGTGAAGGAGAACAAAGAAACCATAATCTGACTGCCAACGTCTTCCAAAGTTGTAACATTAGACATCTAGCTATCCTTCTGCATCAACCCACCCTCGCATTCTTGAAAGTTTTTGAAAGTTTGTGAAAGTTTCAAGACCCGTCATCAAGGGGATTTTCGTAGTTTTTAACCCAGAGAATCTCACCACTCTGGTACCACTGCCAGAAGCATGTAGGCATGTTTACAACAGATGAGACTGTTTGATTTTTAATTTTGGTCAAAGTGCCTCTTTAAACACAGGCCTTACACATACAATTCGGCTCAAGATGAGATCAGTAGGAAATGCTTGACTGTTAAATCAGGGAAAACAGGACTGTGCGTTTACCTAATGATCGTAAGAGGAAGCTGCTGAAGTCTTCTGTACTGAGAGACTCATCTTCCTTTCTGCAATCAGAATAAAGGAGTCAATAAGCCATCAGACTGAAATGAGAACATGCACAGCAGCAATTTAACCTCCAGATGGCGCCACTCCTTCAAAACACTCAGACAATTCGAGAGGTGTATATACACTCACAGGCCACTTTATTAGAAACCTATACCTTTTAGTTTCACTATGCAGATGTACAGTTTTACAAATATCCAGCCAACAGCAGCTCCTTGATCTGAAACTGACCACTGATGAAGGGCTGGACAATGCATTCCATCTGTTGGACTAGAGTCTCAAACTGTGCACAAACAAGGAAGAGGTTTCTAGTGAAGTAGACGGGGCGTGTATAGTTTTTACTACTCTTTACTGTGACATTTTAGAAAGTCATTACATTTTAGTAATGAAGTCATATCAACACCCCTGGTCAAATAACATATTTTGTTGATTTTCTCTTCAGAGAACACATCTAAATATGGCATTTTTTCTGCAATTTGTAGGGCACAATTTCTATTTATTTTGGGGGTTTAACATACTGAATAAAAATAAAACTTAAAATATAAAATAACTTTTCCATATGCCACATTTATGTTATTTTTCCAACAGGTTAAATTCAGAAAAACAGCAATTAAATTTGCAGAAGTGCACGTCTTATTTAACCTAGAAAACATGGAATTTAAGGTGCCCAAACTTTATTTACTGTATTTATAGTGTTTCACTTCTATATAGTGTTTCATACAGCAAGTCAAATGTAAAACTAGTATCCTTGCAGTTAGATTTACCATATTGTCATATATCTAATGACTTCTAAATCAATATTAGAAAAATTCCACACACTAAAAAAAAACTATTTAAAAAATACAATCAAGTATTCAGACCTTAGATTAATGATGTCCAGTCTCGGTCCTGGAGAGCTACCTTCCTGCAGACGTTAGGTCCAACCTAGGTCCAATAAGTTGCCCTGCTCCTTACTTAGTTCTAACACATCTGATCCAGCCAGTCAGGGACTTGGGAAGAAGTTCATTAGCTGCAGCAGGTGTGGCAAACTGTGACTGGAACTAGGCTCTGCAGGAAGGTAGCTCTCCAGGACCGTGGTTGAAAACCACTGCCTTAGATATTTACAAAGAGTATGTTATGAACTATTTAACCTCAAGGCATTAATCACGATAGTAATGAGCTCAATATATACAATACCATGATATACAGGGCACTTTCTATTGAGAGCCTGAGAAAAAAAAAATACACACCTTTTTACAATTACCTTTTTTTAATTTTTTCAAATATCTTTTGGATTTTTTTTTTAAGTTCAAAACTTTAGATTTGTTACGTGTTTAATTGTTAAATTAATCACAGATTGGAAAAAGATAAAATGCAGCCTGTGCAAAAGTTGTGGCATATTTTATATTTATTCCAATATGTTAAACACAGTGAATGAACAGAAAATGCGCACTACAATTTGCATATTTATACGTAGAAAAATTGCTAAATAAAAAAAAATACGACTGTAATTAATCTTGTAATAAAGAATGGAACTGCATATGCAAACTTTACCATCCGATGTCATGGTCTGTGTAGCTGGTTTTGCATAACCTGACTGTATCATAGCTATAACATAAAAGTCTCCCCTCCCCCCAAAGTTGCTTTACTTTGTTGTACACTGTACAATAGACAGCCACGTTTCTAGAACAATCTCTATAATTTTAAGTATTAATGTAGGATATTAATTCACTCAACATGTTTAGAAGTTCAGTGGGAATCCTAATGTCTTGCTTAATGTTACTAGGGCTTTTACCACGGTAACTCGTTGAACCGTCACCGGGCACAGACCTGACAGAAGTAATACGTACGTTAGCTGTTAGGCTAACTGAGTGCTGCTGCACACTGCCAGAGTGGAGGCATTTTCCCACAGCTCAAAGTGCGCAACACGCCTTCATTCATGCAGTCACTCGGATTCAAAATTTAACTCACATACTTTCAAAATGTCGGAGGGACAAGTCGCCTACGTCCCCCAAGTCCCCACCGATCCCCCGTCCCCTATTCTGCACCAGTGACATAACAAAATACCTCCTAAAGGGATAAAGGCTTTTGAGTAGTGGTGACTGTGGGATTTTACCCCAGGGACAGCTGGAGCTCCTCTGCCTGCAGGATGGCCCCGGTGACAGGCTGTAGTTTAACTGTGGCTCCGCTCTTCACCCTCAGGCTGCTCTGAGTGTCAGGCATCAGGCCCACTCTTCTCCCGGGGAACTGAGCTGCAGGCCATGCCACACACACCTACACACAGAGAGAAACAAACAGTGAGATTAATGTACGTACTGTGCAGTGTCCACCCTTTTCAAAGCACTTGTGATAGGAGTGTGGAACAGGGACCCTTCCCCTAATAAGTCAGAATCAGCCCTCATATGACCACCGTTAGACATTAAAAGAAGCTGCATTAAAAGCAAACAGACCAGGAGACAAATATAATTATGACTGTGCATCTTAAAGCCGCAGATGGCACATTTTTGTAAATGTCCAACTAGACTGACAACTGCGAAGACAACTGGTCAATCGACACCATCCTTCAACTCAAGCCAAGTATGCCAACATGCCAGTTGGGCAATCAAACCAAACAAATGGGGAGAATGACTAAATGTCAGCAGTACCATCTGTCATTATCAGCAAGTCCACACGGTAATTATATTGTAATAACATTATTATCAGTGAAAAAAATACTAGCTATAGGGCAAGGCTCTGTAGTGCTCACATAGTATTTTGTAAGTGAATTTAGACCATGGCAATATTGTTTATGGTGATATTTCTGCAGACAATCATGCTATTCCTATATTTACGTAATGTCCAAGCGTTAGCGATTATTACTGTATCTGTACATGCATCAATACTGTCACTTAAACGCAGTATTGGTATCGGCAAATGGGATCTCCATATACACTGATCAGGCATAACATTATGACCACCTCCTTGTTTCTGCGCTCATTGTGCATTTTATCAGCTCCACTTACTATATAGGTTCACTTTGTAGTTCTACAATTACAGACTGTAGTCCATCTGTTTCTCTGCATACTTTGTTAGCCCCCTTTTACCATGTTCTTCAGTGGTCAGGACCCCCCCATGGACCCTCACAGAGCAGGTACTATTTGGGTGGTGCATCATTCTCAGCACTGCAGTAACACTGATGTGGTGGTGGTGTGTTAGTGTGTGTTGCGCTGGTCTGAGTGGATCAGACACAGCAGTGCTGCTGGGGTTTTTAAACAACTCTGTGTCACTGCTGGACTGAGAATAGTCCACCAACCAAAAATATCCAGCCAACAGCGTCCTGTGACCACTGATGAAGGACTAGAGGATGAGCAACACAAACTATGCTGACACACATGAGCTGCTGTCTCTGACTTTACATCTACAAGGTGGACTGACAAGGTAATAGAGTGGGCAGTAAGTGGACACAGTGTTTAAAAACTCCAGCAGCACTGCTGTGTCTGATCCACTCAGACCAGTGCAACACACACTAACACACCACCACCATGTCAGTGTAGCTGCAGTGCTGAGCATGATCCACCACCCTAAGAGTACCTGCTCTGTGAGGGTCCATGGGGGTCCTGACCACTGAAGAACAGGGTAAAAGGGGGCTAACAAAGTATGCAGAGAAACAGATGGACTAGTCTGTAATTGTAGAACTACAAAGTGCACCTATATAGTAAGTGGAGCTGATAAAATGGACAATGAGCGTAGAAACAAGGAGGTGGTCATAATGTTACGCCCTAATTATACATGTTCACCTGTATACCCTCATGTACACCTCCACTGCTCTTACGGCTTCTTGTTCCACAAACTGCAACTCTGCCAATCTCCACTAAAGGCATCCCTAATTCTAGGTCACTTTCTGTTTCGATTTGCATCTGACAGAATCTCTGCAGTCTGTACTATACTACTGCAAACTAACACGGACATACCTCCTGCTGTCCTGTCGAGCTGGTGATGAGGACAGGTCGTCCGATGCAGGCGTTTACACTCTTCATTGTGTTTAAGCTCAGCTGGGCCAGATAGGACCTGCATCGTTTTGGAGCCTTCTCTTCCCCTGCATGAAAACAAGCACACACAGTCAAAACTTACATATCCCAAACATACAAAATAAACTACAAATAAACTACAAAGCATAGCGGTATGGATGGGTATCTGAGCTGACAGCCTAAACCGATAAGATGTAAACTAACTCATCTGGAGTGGTCTGATATGAAACGATAGATGTCTACAATGCAAACACAGCCATTTTATTTAAGATCCAAAATGACCAGTGGACCTACACGTGTCTTCTGAGTTTGCTGGAAATGCTAAAACAGTGGTAAACCTGCCAAAATTGTTTTCTTTGAGAACTATTTTGTCTTTCAACATGCCACATGTAAAACTACGTGTCACAAATGGATTTTAAAACATGTATTCTGGGCCAAACGCTTCTCTCAGAACTATCGTTCAACAATGTTTCAGGGATCAGGGAAAATATTCATAACCGCTTCATGAAATAACTTTGTGTGAGGGAGCTTTTATAGGACGTTTAAGACGACCACCACTGTCAGCAATTCTGAGCTGGTAAGTTTCACAAGAATGGAACACTTCATATCAAACCGCTCTGGATGACTTTGTTTGTATCTTAAAGGAGAACGCCACCTATTTTTCCAAATTTTGGCATAACTGAGTCATTGAGATGTAATTTGTCAATTATGCCACAAAGCTATGAAATCTACAGACATGAAGGAAGCCAGTTTGCTAAATATTTTTAAAAGAAAGTTAAAAAAATCTTAAAAATCTCTTCACTTAAGCCTTTAATTAGCTATGATTTTCCTGACACAAGCCTGAAAGCGCTCGATTCCTCGGCCCTCTCTGTGTGGAGCTTGCATGTTCTCCCTGTGTCTGTGTGGGTTTCCTCCCACAGTCCAAAGACATGCAGTCAGGCCAACTGGAAATACTAAATTGGCCCTAGGTGTGAGTGTGTGTGAAAGTGTATGTCTGTCTGTCTGCCCTGTGAGGGACTAGCAACGTGTCCAGGGTGTTTCCTGCCTTCTGCCCAATGAGCGCTGGCATAGGCTCCAGCATCCCCATGACCCAGGAGGATAAGTGGCTTAGAAGTCCAAGAAATGAATTTTCTATCCTTGTTTTTATGTTCATTCTCATGTGAAACACTCGGTGTAAGTCATTTATTGCAGCAGTTCGAGCTGCATTACTTGTATGAAAGGTGCTACACAAATAAACTGCATTCTTATTATAACTATTCTGACTTGGTAGGTTTCTCTAGAACAGAGCACTTCAAATCAAACCACTCTGACTTTGTTCACAGCTTCAACATTTATTCATGGAGAAATTCTGAAAAAGTAGTGGAATTCCCCTTCAATGGTTTAACTAATCCCTCTTTAAGTGGAGTGCTTTTATTTAAAATAGCTAATGCTCAGTAGTTTTAAAGACTACATCGGACACCATTTAGGGACAGAAAGAATAACAGCAATAATGCCATCTCTAGTTCTGTGTCAACATCACCCTGGAAGCAATGATGCTGTCTGTCAGGTGACAAGCTGCTGAACACCAGCTTACAGGCTACTGTTTAATATACTAATACAGCACAGCTCATTGCCTGTTATTCAGCTATAATAAATAATAATTTATAGCCTCATTTCTAAACCTTCTCCACTTTCTATCATTCACTTCCTCCCTGAACTAAAAACACTTCAGTAACAGAAACTCTCAGACAGACAGATTGACATAAAGACCTAGTGGTGGGTCATCCAGGTCCAAAAAGTACAAACCCTCCCCAGGATTTTGTTCCAACTGCCTGAACACCTTCGCTGCTGGTTTGAGCAAATTAGACAAGTCATGCAGTTGGAACAAAATCCTGGGACGGGTTTTCACTTTTTGGACCTGGATTACCCACCTCTAGATAGACCGCTGGACTGTAAATGACAACGACGTACCTTTCTCTATAAACTCAGTCACAGAGACGCAGTCTGGCTCTAAACCGTCTCTGTCTCCCGAATTCTCTTTACTGAGGTCGCTTTTTTCTCCGTCCTGTGTTTTCCTCCCTTTCGCTTTGCTTTTCTTTGAAGACATGTTGTCCTCTCAGCGCTGTGAACCTGAATTTACCCCTCTGTGTTAAACTGACTGAACTACATGTGTGTTTCTCCCTCATGCAGCTCCAACACAGCCGCCGCAGAGCGCCGGGGTTAAAGGGAAACTCCGCCCACTTTTACCGTAAACAACCACCAAAATAAACCTTTCAAAATATAAGACCTTTGCAAACGCCATCGGTTCGGAGTATATTTAATGTAACAGTGCATTATTGTAATGGCTAGATGACTAGGTGTGATGTAATGAGGGGAGAAAGCAAAACTCAAACACACAATTAAACAATATGTGATAAATAAATGTATATATGTGATGTTTTTATTATACAATATACACTGATCAGGCATAACATTATGACCACCTCCTTGTTTCTACGTTCATTGTCCATTTTATCAGCTCCACTTACTATATAGATGCACTTTGTAGTTCTACAATTACAGACTGTAGTTCATCTGTTTCTCTGCATATTTTGTTAGGCCCCTTTTACCCTGTTCTTCAGTTGTCAGGACCCCCATGGACCCTCACCCTCATGGATCAGACACAGCAGTGCTGCTGGAGTTTTTAAACACTGTCCACTCACTGTCCACTCTTTTACCTTATTGGTCCACCTTGTAGATGTAAAGTCAGAGACGATAGCTCATCTTCTGCTGCTGCACAGTTTGTGTTGGTCATCCTCTTGACCTTCATCAGTGGTCACAGGACGCTGCCCACAGGACACTGTTGGCTGGATATTTTTGGTTGGTGGACTATTCTCAGTCCAGCAGTGACATTGAGGTGTTTAAAAACTCCAGCAGCACTGCTGTGTCTGCTCCACTCAGACCAGCGCAACACACACAAACACACCGCCACCACGTCAGTGTTACTGTGGTGCTGAAAATGATCCACCAGCCAAATAGTACCTGCTCTGTGAGGGTCCATGGGGGTCCTGACCACTGAAGAACAGGGTAAAAGGAGGCTAACAAAGTATGCAGAGAAACAGATGGACTACAGTCTGTAATTGTAGAACTACAAAGTGCACCTATATAATAAGTGGAGCTGATAAAATGCACAATGAGCGCAGAAACAAGGAGGTTGTCATAATATTATGCCCGATCAGTGTATCTGTAATATTTAAAAATTTGAATAACCTTCTATACAGACAGTAAAAGGACAGTACACATGCATAAAATGCATCAAAAGTATTTTTAAAAAAAGTATATGCAAAAAACTACAGATACCTATACATTTTGTGCACTGAATGCATTGCTGACAGTGTTCTTCGGTTACAGATTGGTTACAGCTGTATATCCAGCTTTATTTATAATATAACTTAAAATTATTTACTAATGACTCAGTATTCCTGTACTAACGATTGCATTTATTATTATTAATTGAACTCTGCTTCCCTGTCAACAACTGGGCCCTACATTCCAGCTAGCAAGCATATACTGGTCCACTGGCTTGATAAGGCTGGCACCCTGCTGTTCTACCCCGGACCACCCAGATTATTGTCCTGCATACAAAGTCTACTTAGGTCTATTTCCAATTTCCTCAAACAGATTTCAAATGCACATAGTCTTTTATTTTAATTAAAAAATATATATATTTTTTTTTTGTACAAACAATTGGAAGAAAAAATAATGACTAGGCCTAATATAAAGTGATTTAGCAGAAAATGTTGCTGCTGACACTATGTTAGATTGGTCTAACTGGGTTTATTTCTAATATTACTATTAAAATGATTTTCTAAACTAATTCACAACAGATAACGAAAGAACGAAATGAAGGAAATAATAAGTAAATTGGACTGTGAGTGTAAAATGAGGGATGAAGTGACATTTTCGCTAACACTCTGCTCAACCACCGGTGGGCCATCCAGAAAACACTGCGAAAAAAGCCAGGCCACCAGTTCTACCATCAGCAGGCTATCTGGGATGGGTTAGCAAGCTTTTTGGCCCTTATTAGGCACCCCAGTTGTGTTCCCTAATGATGGGGCCAGAGCGGGCTACAAGTGGGGCCTTTCAGGGCAAGACACACATACCTTATCTGTATCACTCACTGTACAGTATTAAGGAGGATGGGCCTCATAATACTTCAGAACTCTTTCTCTATGGACACCCATTAGGATATTTACGGTTTTTGGTTCAGTTTTGTAAGCTCTAATGTTTTGACTGTGTGTTGTTTCTCCATGGCGGTCTTCAGCTCAGCTCAACTGCGCTCTGTTCTGAACCTCCTGCCCACACAGGGATCTCGCAGCTCGGGTTCTCTGCGGTGGCTCCGCCGATTCTCCGCAGGCCCTGGTCCGGAGCCTCGAGCTGTCCGTGCTCTGCTTAGCGGGGAATCAGACCGCTACGGCGGCGTGACAGTCCGGCATCTGCCCGATCAGATCAGCGAGTCCACTTTCAGCTCCGTGCTGAGAGGTACATGGAGGAGTTACACTGTACAGTTAGCTTATACTCATAATTCAGGAAAAATTACTGTAGCGATGGAGTTGTGCCTTATATTTGGACCCCTTCTGGGTCTCAGTCCCCTGTCATTTCACTTGTGTTTACTTTAATTGTGTAGTGATTTGCCAGCTCTGCACTTTTCAGTGTTTTTCCTCCACTGACCCCGCTGACCCCAGCTCATTCCAAAGCTTCCTAAGCCCTTCATGAGCTTCAGCTTGTTTTGTTAGTTCCTTAAATGTGTGTCACACCATTTTCAGCAGAAACTGATAAAGTAGCCCCCAAAACACCCCCAATTAAAGGGGCACTCCAGACAAAAATAAAAGTGCAACCATTATTGCACATTAACCATCTTTTATGAACATACCTGTTAGCCTCCTACAGTGGTGCTGTAGAGCAAGATTCTTCAGTCTGACCAGGGTATATTTTGGTTTGTCCATCTGAATTTACGTGACCAAATTGTAAGGCAAATTATTCAGTAACTGCATGAAATAAATGTAAATATTTATTTCATTTTATTTATTTATTTATTTTTTGTAAAAGCTCCCCTCAAATTAGCAGAACGTGTTTTATGATCACACATATTGCTATATCCTTACAATTTACTTCTGAAAGCCAAAAATCTTAGATGCTCTTTGTATTATTTTATAAAAGTAATTTTTATGGAGCAGATCACTGAAGAGACACCATCTGTTTATAGTTTACAGCCCAGATTTGTGGAAAAATGGGTCAGTAGACAAAAAAATTGTGAGTTCAGCTTCTATTATAAGAGTTTAGAATTACATTACCCATCTATTTGACTGGAAAGAAAACAGTTACAGCTCTCATATGACCTCCACCTTTTGAATGTAGCTTATGAATACGAAAGTTATGAAGAATATGACGAAGTGCGTTTTGGAACCACAGGTGGTCTCAAGGAGTTGAAGAGGTTAAAGGCTAAGAAAACCCCCTTTAGCTGATGTATCTTGAAGGTGGGAGGGACTTTTGAGAAAATATGTGAGGACAGGATTTTTTGTGTGTTTGTTTGTTTGTTTGTTTACCTCTAGCTGGCTAATACAGAAGGAAGCCAGATAGCTATTAAATAGCTAGAAAGCAAAACATCACATCTGTATTTATTATCCTCTACATTTCCACAGTTATTAGCTGTTATTGCTTTTATTAGCACAACGTAAAATATTACACTCTAGTTTTAGACCAAAATGTCCCTTTAATTATTTCTAGGGGAGAATTTTCCAGACAGGTTAAAGTTATCTTTTATATCTTTGGCAGAAGTTAAAGGGGAACTCCACCAATTTTTCAAAAATTCTATATAATTAAATGGTTGAGATGTAATCAAAGTCATTCAGAGTGGTTTGATGCGAAATACTCCGTTCTAGAGAAACTTGCAGAGTCACAGTTATTTAGAGTGGTGTTGATAGGAAGGTGATAGGAAGCTCCCTCACAGAAACCTATTACACTAAATGATTATGAAATGCTGCTTGATGAGTGAGACATTGTTTTACGGTAGCTTTATGATCAAGTTTTACCCTAAAACGTGTTGTTAATCCATTTATTTTAATCCATTCATGGCAGACGGATACATGTAGGGTCTTGTGAGGCAAAATAGTCCCCAAAGAATATGTACTTTTTCAGATTTTCCACTAATTTACCATCATCAGCATTACATACAAAAACTCTGAAGACACATGTAGGTTCACTGGTAGTTTTGAATAGCAACAAACATGGCTATTTTTGTGTTGTAGACATGGTGACTTTGTTCCCACCAGCATTGTGGGAACAAATGTGTAACTTTCTTTACAACAAATCATTTTACATCGAACCACTCTGACTGACTTTGTTTACATCGCAAAGATGGAAGGATGCAAAATTTTGAAAAGTCGGTGGAATTCCCCTTTAAAGGGCCCATGTCCTACACTTTTCTTGTATTTTATGTTTTACCCCAAAGTCCATCTGTGACGTGTGTGCAGTTTTATGCACCAACAGTCACCATTTATATATGCATGACAAAGTTTACAAACTTTCTTTATCACTTAAACAGCCTGTTTTTGTTGCTGGCATTCAGGACACAGTGATGCCGGTTCTGCTGAAACATTCCTTATAACTTCAACGTAAATGAGTGAAGACAAGCTGCTGTAGACGGAATAGGCGGATGGTTGAAAATCTGGTGGATTTTATGACATCACAACAACAAGTGATTTCTAAACATGATGTTTTTGCAGCTTATTTTCCATATATGGACTTTTTTGGTCTGGGAAGTGAATTGTACATTTAGAAACTGCGTTTATGTACTACATTAAACTGTTTTCTTTCAAGACTGCAAGGATTGTTTGGTTTTCCCTGATCAAAATTGATGTATTTGAAAAAATGCAGTGTTATAAAACTCCTGGAGGGCTGTACAGCAATATGATGCTACAGTATGTCTTAATACAGTGTCCAGGGTTTTTGCTTTGTCCAGTGTTGAAGGATTGATCTCTCATAAGAAATATATAGCATGTGTACAATTTTACAGTAAATATACTGTTATTAACAATGTTATTACCAATCTAATTGCAGTGGGGGTTATTTAGCATACAATGTAATTCCATCTCCTCTGTGTCCCCGTCTGTACTGTGTCTCTGTGTCTGTGTGTGCTGTATGTGTGTTGTGCCTGTCTATGCTATGTTTATATG